ATATGAGTGGATCTTACCACACACATCTTTTTTCTCTTCAATTAATAAACTGGTATTGAGTACTTAAAGATGATTTCTTAGACTTGTTGCTAATATGATTTTTATACTTTAGGATTCTGTTCATGACCTTGATTAAGTAAATTCTACTTCTTTGCTTTAGATTTCACTGTAAATCAATTTCCCTATGTTACTCCCCCCCTCCCTTTTTTTTTTTTTTTTTGGCCATTCTTAAGTGGAAGATGAACTAAAGGATAAAATTTCTTACTACCCCAACGTAAAACTAAATCCTGAGGAAGAACAGGACTTAAAAGTCAGGATTTCAGATGTTTGGGCCTCTCCATTCACTGACAGATCACATCTGTTTTATGCACATGTTAAACTGAAACAGTGAAAATTACTAAAGCACACATTAAAAAAAATTTGATGGATCCACTGTAGCACTGTGATGACCAAGTAGAGTGAAATCCTAGGTCTCCGACAGGCAGAATGTGACAAAAATATGGTTCGGATATTTCATAAATGCCAGGTTTTGTCAGTGGAGAGAAAGAATGAAAAACAAAAACAAAATAAAAGACTGGTATTGCAGAATTGCTAATTAAAACAATTCAGAGAACATAAATGCAAGAGTAATTTTGACATGCCATATAAGGCTGGTTTCAATGCAAATGTAGTATTCCGATTTCTCCCTTCCCTGGGAAGGTATAATTAACTCAGCTGCAACAGGGCGAAAGCCTTGAGGCAGCCGTTTCTTGGTGCTGCCAGCTCCATCATGGTGGAAGAACAGCTGCCACCAGCCCCTCCTGCCACGGGTTGTGCAGAGCTGTGACCACCCCACAAGGCTGCTCACAGCCACCATGAGCAGAAGGCTCAGGCTCTAGTGGGATTGGTTCTTGCTTAAAGATAAAGAACATGCTAATCCTCAATCTAGTTGACTCCATGCCCAATAATCGTCCTTCTGTATAATATAGCCTTGGCTAATACAAAAATTTTTCTCTATCCCCCATTTACTGTGGCAGAAAAAGATTTTTAACTTTGGTGATGCAGGATATTAGAGAGAATAGGAACAGGAAAATGAAGGAAAACTTACTTAGAATGCTGTTGGGAGAACACATTACCGCAGCTGCTTTGTTAGAGCAGATTATGGGGAGGGATTTAACTCTAAGCTTATCAGTGATCCAGCAAGTAGATAACAATTGTGAAAACAAAAGCGTTCTGACAAATAGCAACCACAACATGTGCTGGAGTTCATGTGCATAAACAAAGCAATAACTTTTGCTTATCCATTGGGAGAAGTCAATAGAATGGACCACATTGATATGCTATTTCAATAAGCAAAAATATTCCAAGAATGAGTTCTATGATGATAAGTACTCTCATTCATCAAACCAATAGATGAACCATCATTGCAAAATTTTAGAGAAGGCAAAATAGAATTAATAATTGTTTGTTTTCCTACACTGCTATCAAATTGTCAGACCTTATAGCCATCTTCCACTTCCTTACACTCTTCTGCCCTTTCTCATCTATAATGGAAGTCAATATAAGGCTGGTTCTTCTTCCTCAACCTGAGTGGGAAAAACTACATACCAACAAACATACAAACCCTGTAACTACAACTGAGTAGTGTCCAAGGAGGGGAGGAATTAAATGTGGAATCTGAAGCACATTTAGTACTGGGAGAGTTCCAAGAACATTTAACAAATAAAAGAACTGAGAACCATGATTTCCTCAGAAAATAATTCAGAAGGAAGTACTTCAGGATCTTATCACCTAGGAGAAGGGTTTTCTTTTTAACAAATGATAATAAAATATGATAAATGGCAGATGCCAGGGTATTCATAATTTTTAAATGATGAAGATTAACTTCTTACATATGTAGCAGTGGTCACTATTTTGCTAGTATTTTTCTTCCCAGGTTTTCAGTTTATAGCATATACTTCACATACCACAATAATTATCTTTTAAAAGTGTACAATCAGTAATTTTTAGTATGTTCACAATATTGTGCAAATATCACCACTATAGAATTCTAGAACTTTCTTATTACCCTCAAAGGAAATTCCATAACCATTAACAGTCACTTCCCCGTTGCTTCCTTTCCTCCAGCCCCTGGCAATAATTAATCTACTTTCTGTGTATATGGATTTGCTTATTCTGGACATTTGATATAAATGGAATCACATATGATGCAGTATTTTGTACCTGGTTTCTTTCACTCAGAATAATATTTTCAAAGTTCACCCATGGTGTAGCATCAATCAGTAATTAATTCCTTTTTATTGTGAAATAATATTCCATGACATGGATAAGTCATGTTTTGTTTATCCAGTCATCAATTAATTGACATTTGGGCTGTTTCTACATTTTCATCTATTATGAACAGTACTGCCTTGAACAACTGTGTATACATTTTTTGTGTGAACATGTTTTCAATTCTCTCGAGTAAACAGGTAAAGTAGAGAGTCAGCAAAAAAAAAAAAGGAAGACCCTCAACAAGATGGATTGACATATTGGCTTCAACAATTGGCTCAAACATAGCAATAACAACTGTGAGAATGGCAGGATCAAGCAGTGTTTTGTTCTGTGCACAGAGTCACCATGAGTTGGAACTGACTTGATAGCATCTAACAAGAACAACATATACCTAGTAGTGGAACTCCAGGGTTATATGCCAACTTGATGTTTAATACTTTGAGGAAATACCAAATTGTTTTCCATTTTACACTCTCACCAGCAACGTCCTAATTCTCCACATCCTTTTCAACACTTATTACTGCATTTTTATCACAACCATCTGTGATGGTTAATGTCATGTGTCAGTTTGGCTAAGCTATGATTCTCAATAGTTTGGCAGGCATTGGAGTAATTACTTTTCCATAATATAATGTAATGTAATCACCTCCATGATGTGACCAGATTTGATCAGCCAATCATTTGAATGGGGAGTATCCTTAGGGATGTGGCCTGCCTTCACTATATAAATGGATGTTTCAGCAAGGCTCATTCCATTTCTCGACCCTGCACTCTTCTTATCACTCGACCTTTGGTTCTTGGGACATAAGCTTGCAAAAGTCTTCAGCCTGATGCCTGACTGCAGATTTTGGGCTTGTCAGTCCCTGCAACCATATGAGCCAGCAGAGGGCTTCAGCCTGCTGCCTGGCCTATGAATTTGAGACTTGTTAGCCCCCACAATTGCATGAGCCATTTCTTCACAATTGTTTGAGCCACTTCCATGAAGTTTTGCTCCTCTAGAAAACCCAGGCTAGTGAGAGTGAAGTGATATCTAATTGTGGTTTTCATTTGCACTTTCCTGATGGCTAATGATGAACATCTTTTCATGGGTCTATTGGCAATTCATATATCTTCTTTGGAGAAATGCCTATGCAAACCCACTGAACATTTTTTAATTTGGCCATTTGTCTTTTTCATTTTTGAACTTTCCAGACTTTTCCACCTAAATTATTTTTCTAGAGATTCATGTTAGGAAGAGTGTTGAGTTCCACTCTAGTTCACCCTTGACTTTAGAGATGAAACACCACTTTATATGGATAATAATAAAATTGAAAACATTTATTGGCCATTTATTGTGTGGCAGGTACTTTGAAACTTTTATTAACTTACTGCTAATAAGAAAGCTGCTGTTTGGGGCACATGGTTCTGTAGTCCTTCATCAAGATCTACAAAGCGTTGTCTCCTGAGACAGGGAGACAGTTGCACCTGCATCAGATCCTACCAGGGAAGCAGGAGCCAACAGAGGAGAGGCATCCACTGGAAGAAAAGCTCTATCCTACTCCTCATGCTTTAGTTATCTAGAACACACTAGTCAGTGCTCTACTCAAGATTTTGAACACTGTGCCTATAATTTCTGCAAATACACAAAAGAGAATCTTTTCCAATTTGTTCTCTATTCCTTTTTGTCAAACACAGTGTGGAAAATGTTTATCAAAGTGAGGAATGAAGAATCAACACAAAACAATCTAAAATAGAATATGCAGCAAGACAGTGGATATAGTTCCTTAGACTAATTGTAGCAAAGTTACCTCAGCTAACATTCAGAAGTATTGGAGATAAGTGAGGTGCCAGAGGATAAAGGAAACAAACCAAAAAGGCTCCCTCCTCAGAAATAAATAATAATGGGAAAAGGAAACAGTGAGGAATGGCTTTTTTTTTTTTTTTTCCTCACCAACCCAGTCCCATGGCTTTCATGTCTCTAAATACATCAAACACAAACATGAGAATAAATCAAGTTATATGTCATATCCTCCTCAGTATATTCAAATTGACTTTAAAGATTCTCAATATACATGCAGCACATTTATTCCTTTTTCTTCTTAGTTTCTTCCCCTCTCCTTGAAAACCAAACATAGCAAACAAGAAAAGCAAACAAAACTAACAAGAAAATCTAATTGAGGCCTTTGAGGTTGTGAAACATCACCACATTATGACTTCAAGCTTCCAAAAATATCCCTTTTCTCTCACATCCAAGGTCCAAGATCTCGGCTAGCAAATCAAACATCCCAGAAAGCCATTCCAGGTAACCAGTGGGTTTTAATTACTGCCTATATTATCACATGTTAGTGATTCTAATAGAACCCCCAGGCAACTGGGTGGGAACTACTCAGAAGCAGGCAGGGTGGAAACTTTTCTATCTGACCAAGAAAACCAACATCTTAACCACTTTCAACCAAGAAGGTTCTGTGAGGGAACTTCCAATATCTAGTGTACAATTCTTTATATACACAAGTTCACCTTCATTCAAACCTCAGACAAAAGCCCCTAGCATCATTTCATGGATTGAAACCAAAGCCTCAAAATCAGTTAACCTCGTGCCCACCAGGAATTCCCTCAAGCCCATGAGTTCTCCTCTCAGAATGCTCTAGAAGACACCACCCACAGCTCTGGAGAGCCCCACAAGAGGCCAGGATGGTAGGAAAGAGGTCTTCACTGTTGCAATAAAGAGGTCCTGAGGCCTCCTCCTCTGTGGACCAGCAGTCACTCACCCTGTAGTAGTCGGTGCTGTACACATCCCGGGACATTCCAAAGTCCCCGATTTTCACAAGGAGGTTCTCCCCAACCAGGCAATTCCGCGTGGCCAGGTCTCGGTGCACGAAGTGCTGGGAGGCCAGGTAGACCATGCCTGCTGCAATCTGCTGGGCAATGTGCAGCATCTGCGACTGCGTCAGCTCCGTTGGTGGGTTGCCTTCAGCCATCAGCACCGCATCAGGCCCGTGTGCCCTAGGGGAGAATACAGAAATTGCTGGAGCCCCAGTTTTCTGACTTGAGGGTTCCCGCCCCCATCAGCTGCCAGTGTTAAAATAAGCTGTCTGATTGAGTACAAAGAGGAGAGAAAGGTGCTTAATGTACATTTTGCCTCTACAACCGTAAGAGCACAGAGGCTTCATTTCCCAGAGTCTAGAGAATTCCCAGTGCCACTTTGGTCTGAAACCTGCCCACCCCCAACACACAAGGCTCTGGGATCTATGCTGGGGTCCAGGCACTGGCCAGGACACCTGACCCTGAAGCAAAAACATACTGGTGGAGAGGTTGGTCCTCCTAGAGGGACAGGTCAACACCTCGTGGGGTCCTCACACCTGTCCTCCCAGCTACATCCTGCAGCAAAACTTCATCCCCCCAATTTCTCCAGAATGCCACCACCAGAGCCAGAGTTGGCAGTTTCTGGTCTCTCCTGTTCCACCTGGTCTGTCGCCAGGCATGGCTTCCAAATGGCCCTTGTCTTTCTTCTAGTCCAATTCAGCAGGGTTCCCAGCATTCTCAGCTTCAACATGTATTCACAAGGAAAAATAACATCTCCTTCGGCCCACCCCCTTCCCTGACCTCCAGCTTAGCACAAGGACTGGTCACCACATATGAGAGCTATTTTTGAATCATAACATTAATTCACAGGAATTTCTTACTGGAGAAAGTTTTCTTCTTTACATTATTTTGGGGGGTGGGGAGCTATGGTATTTTTTATCTTCTTTTTTTTTTTTTCTCTAACTTATATATCTGGCCTTTTCCCAGCTGTGTGAGGACTTAAGGCATCATAAAACAGACATGTGCCTCAGAGAGGGGAGAGTCTCTGCTTTAGGATGCGGGCTGTCAGCAAGCTAGAGCCATACTCAAATGCTACGCTGAACCAAGGTTGGTGGCATTTCAACTGATGGCCTCAGGGGGAGCTGCAGGGTAAGAAATCAAGGCACTGCACTGGACTTTGCCTGAGCTGGTTAAAGGGCTTCTCCCTCGCACAGGCAAATCAGGAAGAAGATCGCCTGCAAGATATTTTGAAGCATTTGAAATAAATACAAAGGGTTTTATTTTTTAAATAAATTTAAAGTGGGTGACCCCACCTTCAGGTTTCCAGGACTGCAGGGGTATTTGAAAATGAGAAAGCCAAAATTATTCAACAACACTTGCCTCGGGTTGCCCCTCCCGCTAGCTGTCTTCCTCAAGCTACTATCTCTTCCTTCTTGCATCCCAGCCTCAGCCCATAGTGATTCTCCTTTCTCTGATTTCCAAAGCAGCTGTCATTCTTGTATTTCCAGGGAATGAACACTGGACATAGAGCTGGGGAATCTCTCAGTCCCTCCAGTGTCCATCACCATGAACCTGATTAAACCTTTTAATTTTCCCAAGTCTGCAGCATCCCCATCAGTTAAAAATGCAAAGGGAAATTATGTTGGCTGATCTTTAGGTTCCTTCTATCTCTAAATATCTGGATTTCACCGATCCATAGGGAAGAAGTTCCTGTTTTTGCACAATTCAAGTTCTAACACATTTCACTTCCATTCAAACTACACCCTCCAACTGTCTCCTTGCATGTTGAGAAATACACTGGGAAGTGCTTTGAAGCTTTCTTCAGCTTACAATTTCTCACTGGGAGTAACAATTTTTGAAGTACAGTAGTTGAGGCTCTGGAGTATCAGAACTTAATTTGAATCTTGAGCTAACACACTATCTGTGTGACCTTGGGTGAGTTGCATAACCTCTCTGGGCTTCATTCTATAAAATGGGGTTAATAATTGCACTTTCCCAAAGGCATTGATGTGAGGAGTAATTTAACCTTGTGTTTACTTCTTGGCCACAGCTAGCTACCCAGAGGGAGTGAGTAGTTGGACCTGTGGGCCCCGGATCATGGTCGCAGGGGATATCAAGCTCAATTGGCATAACATACTACAAAAAACATTGTTCCACATCCTACTTCGGTGAGTAGCAACTTGGATCTTAAAAGCTTGCAAGCAGCTATCTAGATGTAATGATGGGTCTTTCCTCATCTAGACCAAAGAATGAAGAAAACCACAGATGCATGGAAACAATAAGTGCAAGGGACTGGTACACCATGCGATCCTCAGCCTATATGATTATGAGACCAGAAGAACCAGATAGTGCCCAACTACCACTGTCAACCACATAAAAGGGATCTATGTAGGAGATCCTGGATAAAGTGGAGAATTTGCAACAAAACTCAAAATCATAAAAAAAAAAAAAGGTGGGGAGGGGTACTACATTTGCTGGTCTGATAGAGCCTGGGAGAACTCTTGGAACGATGGCCCCTAGCTGCTCTTGAGGTCTAGAACTGAACCCACTCTTGGGGCTTCCAGCCAAACAAAAGATAGGCATATGAGTTGAACATTTACATTAGGTAGATACACTCCTTGGAGAGATCAATCATGGGAGAATAGAAGGGCTGTGTATGCACAGGGAGACAGCTCGGGGGGCAAGAGTGCATGGGAGGGAAGGACACAGGGAAAAGGTAACCATGTGAAGGAAGTGGGAGGAAAGCTGTCGCATTAAGTGAGATGAATTGCAATGTCATGAGACAAAGTGTATGTGAGCTGCTGTACAGCAAATGAAGTTGCCCTGTAAACTTTCACCCAAATCACAATAAAAATTTAAAAAATAAATAAAGCTTGTGTTTATAGTACTTTCATAGTAAAGCCAGAGAGAAGGCTTCACAAACAAAGTTCTCTTTAAAAATAAAAGGGAGAGGCTGGATACAAACACAAGTTATCTGCAATTTATTTTTGCAACTGGTCCATAATACAATTTGCAGAGATATCTTTCCTTCTCACTAACAAATTAATCCACTCTAACCCTTTCTGAAGGAACTCTGGTGGTACAGTGGTTAAGGCACTCAGCTGTTAACCAAAAGATTGGCAGTTCAAACCCACCTGCTGCTCCGTGGGAGAAAGATGAGGCAGTTTGCTTCTGTAAAGATTTATACCCTTGAGAACCTTATGGGGCAGTTCTACTCACTCCTGTAGGGTCTCTATGAGTCAGAGTGAAATCAATGGCTATGGGTTTGGTTTGGGGACTAAGGAAGCAGGGGAAATGAAAATGTTTTCACTCGTTATAGAAGACAAAACTCTTACCATGACCTCAACGCCAATAGAGAGAGATCTAGGGTAAACACAAACCAAGGGAAAATCTAAGAGAAAAATCCTGAGGATCCTGGCCAGAATTAAATCTTTAAATATTATTTCAAAAAGTAAAATAAATTGCTGATTTTCCATAGCCTTATTTCAGCTCTCCAAAATTAGTCTACTTTAAGAATCGGTCAGATGCAAAGATTCCAGAAAAGAGGAAAAGTTAGAAGCCAAAGCAAAAGTCTTGTGTGTAAAACCCAGTCCTTCCGCTTACATTCTGAAACACCAGAAAGTTGGACGCTCTCCAGTGCCTTATGCACTCCATACTAACATGTGTGGGTTGGGATAGGAGCCTGTATTTTTAAATAGTTCCCCCAGTTGCTTCTGGGTATTTGAACAAGTCTCCTTTTAATAGGAGAAGACTCTGGTTGCTTTTCTCGAGCAAAAAGCCCACTGTTAAAAAAGGACATGCAAGTCTTCTAAACAGTTCTTTGGAAAAGCAGAAATAAAATTAACACAGCAGTCCTCTGTTTTCTCTCTGTAGGTTATCCTTCAGTACTTGGAAATGAAAATACAGTTCATCTCTTCCTAACAAATATTCCTCAATAGGAAAGAAAGCACCATTCAGCAACCTGATGTGGGGAGCAGGAAACAGGTTCAGAGGGCTTCTGATAGCAAGGCTGTTTAATCTTTCTAGTCCTGTTCTCTTCCAGATTGGATCATTGGCATTAAGTCAGCACCTAATCTCACTGTTCAAGGAGCTCTGGTGGGGTACAGCCTAAGGCATCTGACTGCTAACCAGAAGGTTGGTGGTTCAAACTCACCAGCATTCTGTGGAAGGAAGCTGGGCAATCTACTTCTGTAAAGATTTACCTCCTTGAAACCCCAAAGAAAGTCATTATGAGTCAGAATCAACTTGATGGCAGTGGGTTTGGTTTTTGGTTTTAACCTCACTGTTCCGGCTCTAGAAATCTGTATTATGTATCTTTCTTTCTGACTTTTTTAGCCATCACCTCAAAAGAAGTATTGCACAGTGATTAAGATTATGGGCTTTGCAGCTAGGGGCTATGGTTTAGAATCCCAGCCACTAGCTGTAAACTTTAAAATGAGAATGATGGTGATAATACTTTAAGTTTATATAAATTAAATATTTAAAATGCTTAGGAAGACTCAATAAATATTAGCTGTTATTACTCAGAAAGCCCTCTTATATCGTCCCCTCATTAAAAGAGAATTCTGGAGAGATTCTAAAAGGAAAAAATTGTACTGTCCTTAAAGGTAAGGACTGTTTTTCACTCCTCATTTCTCCAGATGATCTAATATTGGCCCATCAATGGTTGGTGTTCGATGAATTCCATGGCTTTTGGATGAATCCTAAGGATGGGAAGGTTTTCAAAATGACATCTGCCTTTCACAGGGCAGTGAGGAGATCCTTTCATGGCAGCCTAAGTGCCAGGTCCCTTTCCAGAGAGAGAGGACAGATTGGATTCATAGGACGTTATTGCACCTGAGAACCTGTTTCTTGGCTCCTGTTCCCAGAGTTTAGCAGATTCTGAAATTGAGTAGAGGAGGTTTCCAATTGCTCCGTGCCCTGTGCAGGATGCCAAGGGAGAGTCAGGAGCTTGCTCCTTCCGGAAGGCAGGAAAGAGAGTGGGGGGTAGGCTGAGTTCAGAGTGAAAGAATTACGTTACAAACACGTACACACACACACACAAACACACACTCTCTGAACTAACAGAGTATTTAATCTTATCCAGTTGAGTAAAGTGGATTTACTATCCTATAGTTTTTGGAAAGCATCATTTTTAATTAGGGAGGAGCATGGAGCATAAGAACAAGGGGAAAATATTTCCCCTCTGGGCACATAGGCTTCACCTGATTTTAGCTTCTTTTCCTCCTTTCACATTAGATCTGACAGGACAATGTGCAAAAGCTATCATCATCCTCTGTCCTACCATCTACAAACAGAAAAACTTTGCTGACACCAGGCAATGCATTGAGGTGATTATCTCTGAAAACCATGAGTTGGCTTCATATTCCTAATCTCATCTAGAGCTCTCTCAGCTAACATTCCCTCACCTATATAATCACAGGAAAGGCAGAGTATGGATCAATCACGGTGAAGGAGAACTATATTGCACGTGTATCCATGAGGCTAGAGATGGTAAAAATGGTTCAGACGGTACACAACATGTGAAAACTTTTCTAAAGACAGCAGTGCACACTCCCCTTGCACTGTTCTCTCAATAACTGACTTCTTGCTTACACTGCACAGTTTTGTAATCTTCCATTGGATGAGTGAAACTACTGAGGATTATTTCTGTGGTAAGTCCCTTCTCAGGGTCCCTGGAAACTGGGGAGGAGACAAGAGCTCTATGCATAACCATAACGCAAAAGGAGTAACTTCCCCAGGGTTTCCTACCATGATATAAAAGAAAATGTGGCAGAGAGGAAGGGTAGTGGAGACAACATTCATGGAGCACCTCCCATCCCAACAATCCTAGCACTAGACCTTGAAATTGATATTATTATATTCCCACTACAGGTAAGGAAACCGAGGCCAAGGAGACAGGTGGTTTACCTAGTTTACACTGCTGGAAAGAAATGGAGCTGGGATTGAACCAAGCACAGTTTGCCTCTAACATCTTTCCTGTTCCCACTAAATTATACTAATTCTTAGCACACCGTAGGCAACACATTTCCTAATCTTTTGGAGATGAGGGCCATCTCCATATAGACATAGATGAGCTGTATTGTAAAGATAATAGTATGTTAAAGCCAGACAAGACTTAGTGGGGATCTAGAAAAGAGGCGACTGAAGTTGATAGGCTAGAGGCCTGCAAGTTAGGATAAAGAGCCAGGTGTCTCGGCTTTCCTCAGTGCTGGGGCCTTACACTCTTGGTTGATAACCTTAAAAAGGAACACTTCCTACTTAGGCTTCTGCTTAGTGCAAATGAAAAGCATCTCTCAGCTCCCTTTACCAGGAAGTGCCTAGCTCAGTGCTTTCTTCTCTCCCTTGGTTGGTATAGGACGAGAACTCTCATTATGGGGCCACCAGGCTGATCACTGATTTCCTCTATCTTATCACCTGTCCTCATGATAGCTCTTACTGAGGCAACCTATGTACTCATATAAATCTTTATTAGTAGTATTCAGGCTTCTGCTTACTGAACATTTCCTATTCTCTCCTACACTAAGACTTTCCTATACTTAATCTTGTTCAATCCTCACAACCACCCTACCAGCTCAATATGATTATCACAACAGTCAAGAGACTTGCCTAAGGTCATTCAGATAATGAAAACAGAGCTGGGATTACTTTTAGCTCTGTCTGGAGGCCAAATATCCCACTAGTTCCATTATACCACATTGTCTCCTAAATATTATCTAGTACAAGCACTTATAAAATTTTGAAAATTATCATTACTTTTTCAAAGCAGCTTCACATTTCCTCCTATGATATGCTCACTTTACATTCTCTTTCATTTGTTTATCTTATGTTGCTTCTCAATGCCTGTAAATACCACCTGAAGGAGGGACTTCCTGAGGAGCCACCACGGAGCTGGAACTCAGTCTGCCCAATACTAGAAATCCAAGTGACAGGAACCCCAGGTAATAACCCAAAGACTCTCTTTCACATTCAGCATTTTCTCATCTTTGCCTGGGCTGAAAGTTTACTTTCGTCTAATGATCCTGCTTGCTACGGACCCTGCAAGTTGAAGCTGTTCCTTTTTCCATGACCTTAAGGTCTCAAACCTCCCCTTGACCCTGAATCCATTCACTCTTTTGTGTTCATCTGAAGTCCTCAAGGGTCCTGCGAAATATTGTTTCCTCCCTTTTAAAGAACGACTCTTTGGACTCCATTCCTTTCACATAGATCTTCTGACCTGCTGACCCTTAGATCATTCTTTCTATTTTCAAATAAAGTCCAAATGCCTTACCCTGACCTTTAAGGTCTTCAAGTACTGACTCCCAGCTATCTGTTGCATTTCAGTTCCTACAACTTTCTCTCCCCACTGCTTATTTCTTTCCAGCCATAGAGGCTCGCCCTACAGCCTTTGCTTTTACAAAACATCTCCTCTGCCTGCTACTCTGACCCCAGATAACTACATGCTTAACTTCCTTACAACATGCAAGTCTCTGCTTAATGTCACCTCATCAGAGAGACCTTCATGATCATCCTATCAAAAACAGTTCCTTTATTGCCTATTTCCTCACCTTGCTGTGTTTTGCTTGATTGCAGCAGTAACTACCCAATGTTACAGTACTGATCTATCTATTTGCTTAGTGCATGTTTTCTTCTACTGGAGTCAAATCTGCACGAGGGCAGGCTATAAGACCGCTTTAGTCCCTGCTGCATCTTCAGTGCCCTTGGTTACTATGACACTATCCTCTCTGAATTTGTCTGCCTCTGGGGAATGTTCTTTCTCTTTTCTGTATCTCTTCCTCTCCTTACCCCTTAGATGTTGATAATCTTCAGGGTTCTTATCTCAGTCCTCTTTTCTTCTCATTCTATTCTTCTTAAGCATCCATTGCTTTTCCTCCTGAAACAACCACCGTCTCCCAAACTTATGGCTGACCACTCCTCCCAAATCTGTAAAATGGCCTAATTCTAACTAACTGCTCCTGAGCTTCAGGCTCCTACTCTCACTTCACTGAATATCCCTATCAAATTTTCCTATAAAGCACCACAAACTGTATCTGCCTGAAACAGAGCTCATTATTATCCTGCTCCTTTTAGGCTCCCCATTTTAATGAATAACATCCATGAAAATGTACACATCTGAGAATTGAAGTCATCAAGTTACCCTTTCATCATCCCACTCAATTCCATCATGTCTGGAATACTGTTCTCTCTGCTTTCATATACTTTGCAGCTCTCTCCTCAGCTCTGTCTCCTCTCACACCGATCTCGCCCAGGCCATCTTCTCAGTTGGCATATTTCAAGAATTGTCCATGTGGTCCTCTTGTTCCAGCCTGTTCTCCTTGTGACCCCTTCTCCATGCTTCTTCTGGAGCTACCATTTCATAAGTATTTCTGACAAGTTGCCTCTTTTCCTGAAAGGCTCCATGGAATCGTCTTTGCCCACAGAATGAAATACAAACATAGAACCCATCATCCTGGCCTTGGCTCACCTTTCTACCCTCTCTTCCTTCCCAACTACTTCTTCATTTTCCCTCTCTCTGGTCCATTCCATAGTCTGGCAGCTCCAGACTCTTTGCTCTCATCTGACCAAACCTTTCATTGTGACCCCTTGGTAGCTTAGCTCTTGCTCTTTCCTTTGTCTTCAATAATTTCTATCCTTCTTTTATCTACTTAGCAAATCCTACAGATCCTCTAAGGACCATTTCAAATCACATGCCACATGTGACTTAGTACAAAGACCTGTTCACATTATCACTTTGTGTCTTTAAGTTACTTTTCTTTTTTCTTTTAAAAAGACTGTCCACTCTATCCTAAACCCTGACAAGACTGTGATAGCCTCAAGGGAGGCTTGTGTGTCATTATTCTTTGAATCTCAATAACAAATGCCTAATAAATGAAGGTTAAATTAAGTTTAATCATTAGCATCACATTATGTCAAGTTAGTTGATTAAGAAAAATGAGCAATGCTGTGGCCTTCATTCCGTTCTCTGTGATATATGTTGGTGTAGTCACTAGGACAGGCTGTAACAGAGAAAGGTTTAGGGTCCCCTTTGTCCTTTCCAGGAATTCCCCATTTTTATCCTCAGGCTGTCTGAGTCATGAAGGCCTGGTCCCTTCTTGATCTGCCTCTCACCAGTCTCTGTACCTGAGGAACTTGTTAAGGTCTCCATGCTTCATGTACTCAAAGACCATGATGAGCGGGTCACCCTCCACACAGACACCATAGAACTTGACGATGTGCTCATGCTGGAGGTTGGTCAGCAGCTCCGCCTCACGGTGGAAGTCTTTGCGCGCATTGTCACTGGCATCCTTCAGGGTCTGGGGGAGGGGCAGAGAGGGGAGAAAACCACACACTTTAAACAGAAGTCTTCAAAGGGAAGGTTGCAACAAGAAGACTTACTTCAGTGGACCCTAAGGTTCCTGATGGGAGGAAAATTTATCTTGTTTTTAATATAAAAGATTAGAAAATGGCCTAACTCCTGAGGAAAGACTGTTTGTATGAATCATGGAGAAATAGTCTCTTATGAGTATATGGAGCTTTACAGTTTATGAAGCACTTTTCCAGATGTACTCTCATTAAGTCATGCACATTAGCTCTTTATTGTCTTCATCCTTTTTAAAGCTTCTCTGGACCTAATGGCCTGGGCAGTGCAAACAGTTCATGTACTCAGCTGCAAACTGAAAGATTAGAGGTTTGAGTCCACTCAAGAGGTGACTCAGAAGAAAGGTCTGGCATTCTACTGAAAAATCAGCCATTGAAAACTCTATGAGCACAGTCCTACTTTGTCACACATGAAGTTTCCATGAATTGTAATCAACTCAGTGGCAACTGGTTTTTGATACTGGACGTACTTCATTGTTGTTATAAACGTTTCCCCTCTCTGGTGCCTATTTTGCTTTCTATAATGCTATGGGCATCTCACTTCTGCTTATCTAACATTTTAAAAACTTTATAGTATGGAAATATTCAGTAGAAAGAAGAGTGTAAAGAACTCTCATGTACCTTTCTTCCAGCCTCATCCATGATCCTTTTGCCAATGTGTTTTGTAACACTTCGAAAAGCTTTCTCTAACTTGTGCCCATACCCATGGCTGGCTCAGAAAACATCCTAGCCATGCTGCCAAGATAAATGTGCCCAAGATCATGCTGGCTGGTCTATGAGCCCTTTAGTTCTCTACTTAGGCCATTTTGCCACCATGGTATCACAGGCAGGTAAAGCTAGCAGTTGTGATTGGCGCATGCATATGCTGAATAGATGTCCTGTGCCTGTTACTGTGCCTGAGCTGTGATGACTTCAAAAAAGAAACCAACCCAGATCCTGGCCTCAAATGTGTATGGGCAAATAGAGACATAAGTCACATATGTAAATAACTATAATTCAAGCTTGAACACACAATGCTCTGAATGATCCAGCATCCCTGCCTCCCTCTCCAGCTTGATCTTTTGACACTCCTCTCTCAAAACCTGTGCTTCTACCATATGAAGTGTTCACAGCTGCCCAAATGATATAAGGCCATGCTTCCCTGCCTTCACACATGCTCTTCCCTCTGCCTGGAATGTTGTCTAGGCATAGCCATCCAATGTGGCAGGCTGGATAATGGCCCCCCAGAAATTCACATCCTAATTCCAAGAACCTGTGACTATGTTACCCTGATGGCCTTTGCAGATGTGATTAAGCTAAGGATCTTGAGATTAGGGGATGACCCTGGATTGTATTGGACCTGGTGGGTCCATGGTAAGTACAAGGGCCCTTATAAGAGGGAGGTAGGATTGTCAGAGTTAGAGATTGTAGATATAAAGACAGGAGCAGAGCTCAGAAAAAAAGAGATGTTACAATGCTGTCTTTGAAGATGGAAGAAGGGATCATGAGCCAAGGAATGTGGAAATGACAAGGAAATGGATTCTATCCTGAAGCCTCCTGAAGGATATACCCTAGTGACATCTTGGCTTTGTGGTTGCTCTTAGTTGTTGCCAAGTCCACCCCAAACTCATGCTGCTTGGTCCTGTGCCATTTCCAAGATCAGTTGCTGATCAGATCACTGTGATCCACAGGGTTTTCAATGGCTGTTTTCAGAAGTAGATCACTAGGCATTTCTTCCTAGTCCATTTTAGTCTGGAACATCCACTGACATATGTTCAGCATCAAAGCAACACACAAGCCTCCACTTATAGTGATGCCTATCCATGAGGTGCATTAGCTGGGAATCAAATCTGGGTCTTCTGTAGAGAAGGTAAGAATTCTACCATTGAACCACAGCCTATTAATCAGTCATTGGATACTAATCACCCCAACGAGGAACTGTGGCCTTGAGTGTCATTGTTGAGCTCTCTTGGTGGCAGACAGCATTTCCAACAACTGGGGGAGTGGTAGTTCATTCATGAAAGGGCTCATCACTCAGTCCACCACAAGATAAGTTTACATTAAGCAGTATACCATGCCCAGAGCTGTTCTACATACAGCAAGGCACTGATAAACAGGCAATACCTGCTTCAATTTAGCAACAAGAAAATATTAATATGGTGGAGGCAGCAGCAAGATCACAAAGTAATTTCTTCAACAATCTCCAGAGAACTCGCCACCTTTAGCAGGATTGAAACCTCTCTCCTCATTCATGTCCAGTCCCCAAAAGACAGAAATTATAGGTAGTTTTGTTAGGTCAAAGGCAGCTGCTTCTTATGTCAAATTTTGGACATAACGTTAAAAAAAAAAAAAAAGAGTCTAGTGATGGGAGTCACCATTTGTATTTTAACTACCAGTTGCTGTCGGGTTGATTTCAATTCATGGTAGTCTCATGGATTTCAGAGTAGAACTGTGTCAAAAGGGTTCTCAATGGCTGATTTTTCAGAAGTAGATCACCAGGCCTTTCTTGTGAGACACCTCTTGGTGGACTTGAATCTACAACCTTTCTGTTAGCAGCCAGTTAACCATTTGTACCACCCAGGGACAGAGCTGTCCCTAAAAACACTGAGTTTGCTTTGAGCAGACTTAGGTCAGCAAGTGCTCAGAAAGTCTATTAAGTTTCAAAAGGACTATTGCCAAGGAAAGCACACATTTCTTAATTTATAACAAAAGGACCAGTGGCCAAGGACCTGAGGTATGGATTTTTGTTCCCTTGAAGCTAAGAAAACTGGTCTTGCACCCATGAAATTTAAACACTTTTGCTTCCTTGTTGCACAGGGTCGAAGAATGTGCTTATCTTAACAATTGTCTAGGCCATGGGTATGCTTTTAGGTGAGGTCATTGGTGGTGGTACTGGACTGCATTTTGCTTCATTGTGTGTGAGGTCACTGTGAGTGGAGGGTTGACTCTATAGCAGCCAACAACAACAACAATGCTTTTGTTATTTATTATGTATCCACTGTTTGTATTGCTGAGTTTCTAGGTAAAAATATAAGAAGAGGCAAGGAGATGTGCAGGAGGAGATGGAAGTGGTCATGTCCCTTTCAGATCAAACAAGTCCTCTCCCTACGCCCAAGGACAACATATATACATAAGAACAATTCTCAGACTTGGACTTCCACTGGTTTGGGGATATGCTTGTGCCCACTAGCACCCTTGATAGCAGGAAGCTCACCTTTTTTTTTTTTTTTTTAATCACTGGCTGCCTAACTTAACATCAGGTAACTAAAATAACCCCTAATACATGGAGTTTGTGCAAAGCAGAGATAAAAGAGTATGAAAAATAAATGAAACATGAATGCTCATCTGGAAAGGCAGAACATGAGAACATGAGCCCCAGTAAGGGATGGAAACAAATGAAGGACCAGCAACAGAAAGCACATAGAAACATGCAAGGTTGTCAAGAAGAATTGTCCATTCACTCTTGCCTGGAGAGCTGGCCCCACAATGTTGTGCTTGTCTTCTTTTCAAAGAACAGTGATGGCGGTCAAACAGAAGGAGTTCTAGCTTAGAGTCAAAAGATCCAAGTTTAACTTCTGGCTCTGCTCTGGACTTCCCTGAATTCTGTTGTTTTCCTCTATAAAATGAAAGTAACAATAGCATGTATTTCACAGGGTCACTGGGAGGATAGTGTGAGATATTGTAAATTGGGATCCTTGATTAAGAGAGAGGGATGTTGGGGTGATTTGAATTTGAAAGTGCAGGCCTGCATTCAGTTTTCTCACATACAACCCACAGTCACTGGGGCGACTGTGACACATAGCCACCCTAAAGGACAAAGTAGAACTACCCCCATAGGGTTTCCAAGGCTGTAAATCGTTAAGGAAGTAGATTGCTTCATCTTTCTCCCATGGAGTGGCTGGTGGGTTTGAACTGTTGACCTTTTGGTTAGCACCAACTGCCTTAACAACTGTACCACCAGAGCCTCTCTTTGCTCACACAAGGATCCCAGAAAGCTGACCCAAGGCAGGAAAGCAGTGGGCTTGTGGAGCTGCCACCTTTCCCCAGACGTCAATGTAATCTCCTGAAGAAATAAAGCTGTGCATGGAGTTCCAGCCTTATCACTTGAAATGTGCTCTCAGAGACTGGTCCCTTTACTGGAAAGCTGCTCAAAGTCAGGAGAGGTTATTTCTAAGACCTTAGCTTGTACTTTAACAGTAAGTTGCCCTTTGAGGTTAGTAACACAATGTAGGAACAACTTCTACAATAAATCTTTCTTCTGAAGTTTTAGCTATATAGTGCTGACTCGAGAAAGCTAGATTGTGTGTCTCCATCCTCTGTCTGTCAGTTTGTCGTACTGTAGTGGCATGCACGTTACTATGATGCTAGGAGCTATACCATCAGTATTTTAAAAAACAGCATGGTTACCCCTGGTGGTCAGGTTTCAGCAGAGCTTCCAGATAAAAATAGACTAGGAAGAAAAGCCTAGATATTTATTTCTGAAAATCAGCCAATGAAAACCTTATGGATCACAACAGAATACTTTCCGGTAGTGCTGGAAGATAACTCTCCTAGGTTGGAAGGCACTCAAAATATATGGTGGCCCTAACAATGTATTTGAGCATACCAATGATTGTGAAGTTGGCGCCAGACCAGGCAACATTTTGTTCTGTTGTACATGGGGTTGCCACGAGTCAGATTCAACTTGATGGCAACTAACAGAATTGTATTTGTGGGTATGTGTGAGTGTGTGTGTGTAAGAGACAGAGAATGACAGGAACTAGGGTAGGGACATAGAGTGGGAGAGAGGACATGGCTTTTCTTTTTAGGGTACCAGCCTGTAAGAATTAACAAACATCAAATATTGCCACTTCCCAAAATACTGTGGAAAGAGATCAGATTCTTAAAGGCAGTGTCAAAATCTGTGCTTAAGTTAGTGTTTTCGGATTTAAAAGTCGAGATTTCACTAGTCCTGGGG